AGGAACTCGGCTCCTGGTGAAGCCAGGACTTTAGGAATCACATTTGCTCCCCACTGGCGTGAAGTGCTAGCTCATCTGTTTACATTCTAGGTTCAGAAAAGGGACCCCAAAATGTCATGTGAAATCCAAGAATCCAGTTCTTTCAATGTTAGGCAGGAAAATGAAACCTTATTCGAATGTTAACACTAATTCTAAATACAGTATTCTGAACATTTAGATGGACCAGCCGCGGGCACTGTGGTAATTATTAGTGGGCTACAGGAGAAAAGGCCCCTGTGTACAGGGCGCATCCCAGGTGACCCCAGCCTCGTTGCACAGGGCCAGCCATAACTCCTGAACGGCCTTGGCCTCATAGGCTGCCTCGGCTACCACTCATCTACCGCTGTGGAGATGCAGGCCCTCCCCTCTGGTTAAAGAGAGGAGTCCGGCTGCCTCCTCTCCATGAAAGTGCTTTTCTCAGTATCTCTCCCCCTTCATACATGGTGTGTTTGTGATTACTGAGTGCACGTGGACACATGGCCACCCACTGAAGAGAGTCCCAGACTTTCTTTCACCTGGCTGTAACCATGTGACTAAGTGAAGGCTCCCACGCTGGGAGCAGAAGTGATTTCCACAGTTTTCCAGTTGTGTCTTTAAGGCCACCTGCTTCCCCCATCCTGCTTCTTGTTGTCTAGAATGGAAATGGGCTGGAAGGAGGTACAGCAGCTCCCTTGGGCTGAGGACAGCCTTGAGGTGAGGAGAACAGTGCTCTGCCCGTCATCCCTGGCAGTCCACCTGGACTCTCGAGAGGAATCAGCCAAGAAGTAGAAAATATAAATCGTTCCTGCCTTCTCTCTTATATGGATTGACCTAAATAAGGCACAAGAATATCATCTTCATTCCTGCCTTCTCTCTTATATGGATTTACCTAAATAAGGCACATGAATATCATCATCATTCTTGCCTTCGCTCTTACATGGATTTACTTAAATAAGGCATCAGGAATATCATCTACTGGCAAATGCAGTGCAAGGAAGAAGATTGCAGCTGTGCATACTGAGTCATAAGCATGAAATCAGGTCACGACAGACCACCCTGAGCTCTGCAAACACGCCAGAGTGAGGGGCCTGCATCCGAATGCTGCAGCCTCTTTATTCTGTGAAATCACAGGATTGGGAGTGCGTCAGGTTCTCAGAGCAGCCAGCAGAACGTAGAATGCAGCCCACCCTGAGCTCTGCAAACACGCCAGAGCGAGGGTGGCCTTCATCCAAATGCTGCAGCCTCTTTATTCCGTGAAATCCCTGAGCACAAAGACCATGAATACGTCAGGTTCTCCACAGAGCAGCCAGCAGAATGTAGAATGCATTAGGGCAGCTGTGCTCTGTGAGGCTGCAATGACTCAAATCGTCTAACGGTAAATGTAAAATGCCACCTCCTTCTGTGTCCTACAGAAGAATGTGCCCCAAGAATGACATTAAGACAAGAGAGAGCCCCCCTGAAGTCATGAGTCTTGAATGCTCTGTTTATACAAATAGGGGGCACAACAGGGCCTGGCCCCCCCTGGACTATCACAGCTGCTTTCTGCTGTCACAGCTGAGATCACCATCCTCAGGTCCTTGAGAGGGGGATGTCTCTGCTTTGAATATGGAGGCCACTCAGACTTGGGGAAATTCCCCACTTCCCTGCCAGAGAACTGGGAGGGGAGGAGATGCTACCCCTCAGGGCAGGGACCAAGGCAGGAGGTGAACCACTGGGATCAGATACTGAAACTTGCACCACGGGTGGGTGCTGGAGCTCAAGGCTATGCACAGGTGGGTGCTGGAGCTCAAGGCTGTGCACAGATGGGTGCTGGAGCTCAAGGCTGTGCACGGGGCCGGTGCTGGGCTCAAGGCTGTGCTGCAGGTGGGTGGGCTCAAGGCTGGCCTGCGGGTGGGTGCTGGGCTCTCCAAGGCTGTGCCAGTGGTGTTGGGCTCAAGGCTGCGGGTGGAGTGCTGGAGCTCAAGGCTGTACAGTGAGCTCAAGGCTGTGCACGGGTGGGTGCTGGAGCTCAAGGCTGTGCATGGGTGGGTGCTGGAGCTCAAGGCTGTGCAGGTTAGAAAGGCAGGTGTTGTCTCACCAGGGACCACAGCCCTTCTCTGCTGTCTCTCTGTGAGATCTGCACCTGAAAAGCTGAAATGGGAATGAATGTTTGGAACATAACTTATTGGAAAGGAGGAAGCTATGTAGAAAGAAATTCTCACCTGTCTAGGTTAACTTTAATAGGAAAATATGCCCTACCTTCAGGGAAATAGATGTTAGGGACCAAATGGTGTCCCGTTAAAATTCATATGTCAAAGTCCTAACCCTCGGTATCTCAGAAAGTGATGATATTTACAGACAAGCATTTTAGACCAGTGATTAAGTTGAAAAGGGCCTTTTGGGTGGGCTATAATCCAATCTGACTAGCGTCCTTATAAGAAGTTTCAGCTCACAGAGGAAAAGCCATTTGAGGCCTCAGGAGAAACCAACCTTGCCAACACCTTAACCAGCCTCTAAAAATGTGAGGCATAAATGTGCTGTTCAAGCCACTCAGTCTGTGGTATTTTGTTAGGGCAGCCCCAGGAAACCGACGTTCCAGCAAACTTTAGCACATATACTACATTCATGGAGACCACATTCTCTGTACATATATCTCCAGAATGCCTGTCATTTGCACACGTTACCACAAGTCTTAAAAGGATTTGAAAATTCTGTGTTTTCCTGGCCTCATTTAAAATCCAGTCTGTCTGTCCTTAGAAGCAAATCATGTACAATTTGCAAGGTAATACATAAGAACCTAAATGTTGAGATTTACATATAGTAAGATCTCACGTATCTAGAGATAATTGAATACCGGGAGGTTCTAACACATTGCCACTATTAACAGACAATTCTGACAAGCGCAGAGAGCTAAATTCCCCACCAAACATATGGAACAATGTTTGCAATGAGTGGAGAGGAGGACTAACGGCAGACAGTTAAGGTTCAGGAAGAGACGGTCAGAGCCTGAAAGCGAAACGATATGGGGAGAATCAATGGGAACCACTGAAGAACAGCCCCTTCTATCTTAATGTCTCCTAAGAGTGTCAAGTTACCGTGGCACCTGTTCTGATGCCCAAGACAGCAAGAAAAATGAGGTTACCTAATGTACTATATTTAAGAAGAAATACAGTATGTGGTATAGTTTAGAAACATTTTTATACATCATAGCTAAAATGTTTAAAAAGTTATTCTTAAAGAAGTCAGTTTCATTTATCTGAGCATTTAAATTATGCAGAGAAGGTCATTTCCCAGTTTAGGCAAATAAGCACGATGTTTCTGTGCCAGTTTTCAAGCATGAATCATCTTCTTAGATCACATCAGTGCATTGATCACACTGAAAGAAGTGTCTGGGTAACAACTCCTCTGCTTTGCTTTCTAGAGTCAAACACTAACAGATTTGAAGGACATGAGAAAGCCTGAATACCACCTTCTCCGGACAGTGGGCCCCTCACTCTGAACCTTGAAGCTGAAAGACGATTCCTATTTCATGTACAGAACGCATTTTTTATTTTGCAAAGCCAAACCCATGCTTTAAAAATACAGACTTTGAATCTTAAGACATTATTTTGCATTTTAAAGAGAGATATAGTTAAAGCTTATGAGAACAATATAAAGTTTCAAATAACATCATTGTCAGGTTTAAACATGTCGGTATTTTTGTAATTCATGACAGTATTTATTTTCCTTTTTTTTTTTTTGAGACGGAATCTTGCTCTGTCGCCCAGGCTGGAGTACAATGGCATGATCTCAGCTCACTGCAACCTCTGCCTCCTGGGTTCAAGCAATTCTCCCGCCTCAGCCTCCCGAGTAGCTGGGGTTATAGGCACCCACCACCACACCTGGCAAATTTTTGTATTTGTAGTAGAGAGGGGGTTTCATCATGTTGGCCAGGCTGGTCTTGAACTCCTGACCTCAAGTGATCTGCCTGTCTTAGCTTCCCAAAATGCTGGGATTACAGGCATGAGCCACCGTGCCTAGCCCATGACAGTACCTTCCTAACACGTGTTTGTATTTTTTGTAACACAAGTTGATATTTTTCTAAGGTTCATATGTTTACATAGCCCTTTAAAAACATGAGTTCCATGAATTTTCTATGTCGTTGAAGAGAGTTGTTAAAATCTGATTCTATCACAAACTTCAGACCCCTTTAAAATCATTATCAGAAGCCTGCATAATTCCAGCTGTACCCTGGTTAATCTGCAGCTCCTTATAACAAAAGTCTTCAGCCACACATTACTCTTCAACCACATTAAAGAAATAGAACAAAACTTCTTTCTACATTGTCTCAGTACAGTTGCTTATTTAAAAAAAAAAAAAAGTATTCTACTTATTTAAAAAATTAAAAAATCTAACATTTTAAACTGTACAATAAATCCCAACTTCATTACAATTCATTAATCAAATCTCTGTTGAGTCCATTTTGTTTGCTGGAACTCCTCTAGGCACTCAGAGGACAGCTGTGAGCGAGATGATTCTAGCTCCTGTCTTCATAGCACTCTCAGCCTAATGAACATTGAGAAAAGAGTCACTCATGACAGAGAACAGCTCCCAGGGAAATAAAAGCAAACTGACACTTCCTTAATGGCCCACTACAACCTGAGCCGCTTTATCCAGTTGGTGACAATTGTCACCAACACTTGTTCTGCCATTGTCCCCATCTTCCTGAAGCGCTTCCAGGTTGTCAACACTTGAGCTTGTCTTTCCGCCTCTGTTTTACAGGGTCAGATTGTTGCCCGTATCAAAGGGAAATGAGAAAACACCAGCCGGCCAATCCTGCTGCTTATAACCAGCAACAATAAACATTCTGATAGATAAAACGTTTAAACATTTGCCTAAAACGAGTGATGTGCGGGCTTCCGTTTGTTTTTTTCTGTTTTAGTTTTTCAAACCATGCCATCGTTTTGTGTTGTAACCAAAAGACACTGTGATCTGTGACCGCTTCTTGAGTATTTCTGAAAATGTTTACATTTGTCAACAATTCACTTTAATTCAGCATTTCCCAAAGGCCGTTTTGTGAAACGCCGGGCAGATATATACCCCAGAGCTACAAAACATTCCTTGTAAAGTGTGCCAGAAGATGCTGCCTATCAGAGACCACCCCACCCTGAAGAGATCACACAGCCCATGAGCACGTTAAGTTTCGCAGGAGAGACGCTTGCTTGATTTTGCTTAATTCCCACATTTTCCATGCATATTTGGCCATAGACTTTTTTTTTGCAGAACATCTATGAGTATGTTTCACACATGCCTTAGAGAGACTCAGCTTCCCATCACATAGTGAAGGACGACGCATTTTCGTTATCTGCGGTCTCACTGGTCTGCCGGGAAATGTTTTCTGAGTACCTCCCGGCACAGGAGAAGCCCGAGGACTTGTACTTCCTTCTCACACACCACAGGTCCTTCATGATCTTCAGAAAGTAGTTTCTGAACTTCTGCCCAATAAAAGCATAGAGCACGGGGTTCAGGCAGCAGTGCAGGAAAGCTAGGACTTCTGTGACAGTTTTCGTATAGCCAAGTAGCTTTTCATTCTGGCAGGATCGGTTCATATTACCCAAATTTGCAGCCGTCACGAGCAGGACCATGTTATGAGGAATCTGACAAGCCAGAAACACAAGCACCACGGCTATGATTACACGGATGGCTTTGTGCCTTTTAGAATTCTGAGCTTGCACCAAGGTTTTGACAATGAACATGTAACAAAATATCATGAACATCAAAGGGATAAAGAAACCGAAGAGTAGCTCAAGCCCCAACATCAGCAGCTTCCACTTGATGGGCTCCGAGACGGTCTGGTACTTGGGCTCGCAGACATCGCTGCCTTGGGTGTTGTATTTCTGGTTGAAGATAAAAGTTGAGCTGGAGATGATGACTGACACTCCCCACACAATAAGGCAGATGACTTTGCTGCGCAGCAGTGTTCTGTATCGAAGCCGGAACGACTTCGTTGCCTGTACGATGGCGATGTACCGGTCCATGCTAATGCAAGTCAGGAGCAGCATCCCGCAGTTAAAGTTGATGGCATAGATGCCTTTCATCAACTTGCACATGGCATTGCTGAAAACCCATGCACCGGTGGCGTGACTCACTGCCCAGAATGGGAGAGTAAGAACAAAGAGGATGTCTGCAATGGCCATGTTCAAGAGATAGACGTCTGTCATAGACCTGGCCTTCTTATAAAAAGCAAAAGTGATCACCACCAGAATATTCCCCAGGAGGCCAAAGACACAGATCAAGGAGTAGGCGATCGGTACAAACAGCCTGGAGAACTGCCTGACCTCGTGCAAGGTGCACACTAACATTTCAGAATCAACTGTGTAATAGGAAGTATTGACTGACACAAAATAATCTTCACTGGAGTCGAAAACATCGCTGAAATTCATTGATTCCTGGAAAGGAAACAAAGACAGAGTTAGCGGCAGTGCAATGTTCAAGCAGCCACAAAGAACCCAAATTATACTCCTTGCCAAAAATAAAAATCTTACCCCGCTCATTGTGGGCAAAAAAATGCAGGCTGGATGTAGAAAGAGGAGGGTATGGTTCAGCCCCTTCAGCTCACAGGCAGTGGTAGCAGGAAAGTGGAAGTGACTCTAGGAAGGAAAGAAGGCAGAATGCACTACAGTTAACACAGGTATCCCTGGAGAGCCAGACACTTAAGTGACCAGCATTCCATCTCGTGTGAACAGAGTGCACAGCACACTATTTTACATGCAAATATTTATTGAGAATAGGCATCAACAACCTCTTTCTGTAAAGGGTCAGAGAGTACATATTTTAGGCTTTGTGGGCCATATGGTCTCTGTCACAGCTCCTCAAATCTGCCTTTGGAGCTTGAAAGCATCTACGATTACATAACTGAACAGGCCTCGCCGGGCTCGGTTGGCTAGAGGCTATAATTTGCCAACCCTTTATCTATAGTTTAAATAAGGTGCTCTCAGAAATCCACAGGTTTGATCTACACAAAAATCTTTATGCAAAATTTAAAAACATTCAACAAATAGAAGTGTGAATGTGCATAGAAAATGTATAATTCATAGTCCTAGGCTTTCAGTCGTTCACAATATATGTCAGTGATGTTCGCCCCTGTGGGCATGTGAGAATCTCCAGTAGAATTTAAAGTTTGACTATGAGTGCCGTTCTCAAGACACACCGAACAAGCTGCTCCAGCCTGGGAAGGCGCTGGAGAGAAATGCACCTGCTTCTCCACAGCCGCAGACCTTTCCAGTAGACATTCCAGGTCACAAGCATGAATCCGCTGTGGCAGAGGCATCCTAATCATCAGAAATCCAAGTGCCAGAGGAAAGGTGGAGGCTGGCACAGTTAGGAAAAGTTTCCTGGAGGAGGAGGCTCCAATCAGGGTCCTTGGAGAATGGCGAGGCTGTGGGCCAGTGATTGACAGAGAAGGGCCATCTCCTTCAGGTGACCAGCTCATCTCAGACCGAAGAGCAGTCCTGAGTCATGAGCCCTTTATGTTTGTGAAACAACTGAGCAACTAGCCTGGCCGAATCAACTGGATTGTTAGGAAACAATGGAGTATACGATGTGCTGGGAACGCCAACAGTGGTGGCGCATGGGTCCATATGGAGTATGCCACGTGCCAGCAATGCCAGCAGTGGCCGTACATGGGTCCATATGGAGTACGCCATGTGCCGGCAAAGCCAGCAGTGGCCATGCATGGGTCCAGGCTGAAGAAGTTTAGCAGGAGACCAGGAAGAGCTGGAGCGGTTGTGGAGGGCCTGAGGACGAAGGGATTTGAAATCCACCATTTGAAGCAAACTTAAAAAGAAAGAAAAACTCTTCGCTATTCTCAGGCTCACTCCTCCTTTCCAGCATTGTCCCTCGTCCTGTTTATTAACACCCCCTGGACGCCCCCCAGTAACATCCACAGCCTGAAATGCTCTGATATTAATGTTGGATGTGCTTCCCAGCCAATCGCCCATCTTCCTCCTTTTTCCCTGCTCTCGCATCACGTGGGCCTGGCCACGCCAAGCGGGAGCAGCTAGGGAAGCGCAGCCCAAGGTGCACAGGCAGAGAAGGTAGAACTCCCCTCCTTGCCTCCACTCTGTACCATATCAGCCCTCACTTACGAGTCCACATGGATACTGATCTTTTGGAAAGGAAGCCCATGTAACACAAAGTTCACCCTAAATTATTTTCCAAACCTATTTCTTCCATAATTTTGATTCTCATTTCATTGTTTACTCCACCCCATTCCTTCCCTGATGCCTGGAGTCACAACTCAGAGATCAATTCTTCACTGCCCCTCAATCACTGCTCTGGACCTAAAAACCTGGAGGAAGGCATGGAGTCACCTCTGCACTTTTGTAATCCCAGCAGGTATACAGCTGAGTGCTTTAGAGTATGCAGAAGAAGCATAATATAGACCCCTGTGTTGCAAAAGCACGTGAAGAGGTAATCATATCAATCCGAAGAAGCGCAGCAATCAGAACACCACTGCTAAACTTCAGCTTCCAGCCACAGTGGATTAACAGAGACCAAAGGCACCCTGCTGCATTAAACAACCAGAAAAACCTGCAAAATGTATCAACAATTTTCAGACCTTGGCACTAGGCATCAAGAGATTATGGCTCCTGGCAGGAGGAAAACAAATACAGTGAGAAATGATACACGCTCTTTCTAATCTGCAGAGTATGGCAGGGGTGGAGGGCATGGGAGGTGAAATATACAATATGCAAAATAAAATGCACCAATTGGAATTAGCATCTGGATGTTAAAACTATATATATACATATATCATATATAATGTACATAATAGCATCAACAATTATATATATAATTGTATCATAAAATGTAAAATAGTTGTGGATAGATCTAACAAAATTTATGCGAGATTTATATGCTAAAAACTACAAAACATTGTTAGGAAAAATTGAATAAGACCTAAATTAATGGAGAAATTTATCATGTTCAATTTTCAATGATTCATTTCATGTTCAAATTTATCAATGATTCAATTTCAAGATATCATTTCTCCCCAAATCGATCTGTAGATACAACATAAACTAAATCAAAATTATGGTAGGGTTTTTTTTTTTTTAAGAAATTGACAAGCCAATTCCAAAATTTATATAGAAATTCAAGGAAATTAAAATAGCAAAAACAATTTTGAAAAAGATAAAAAAATTGGAGGACTCACACTACCGGATCTCAAAGCTGACAAGGAAGCTACACTAAGTGTGGCGGTGTTGGATTTCTGAAAGGACAGATACATAAATTGGTGGAACAGAACAGAGTCCAGACATAGACCCACATATAGATGGCAGACTGATTTTTAACTTAGGTGCCAAGGTAACTGCATGGGAAAAGAACAGTCTTCAATAACTGGTCCCGGAATGACATGAACAAAAAGTTGATCCTTATGGCTTACCTCACACCATTTGCAAAAGGTAACTCAAATGAGTTATAAATCTAAATGTGAGTGCTAAAGCATAAAACATCTAGAAGGAAAAACAGGAGAAAATCTTTGTGACCGTGGAAAAAGAAATTTCTTATATAAATTGCAAACAGAATGAACTGTAAAAACATTGATAAATTGTACTTGATTGTACAAAATGTAAAGTTTCTGCTCTTTGAAAGACACTCAAGAAAATGAAAAATATATATATTGAATACAAAAAACTATTTTAAAACTTATGTCTGATAATAGGTTATATCCAGAATATACAAATAATTTTTACAACTCCCTATCAAAAACATAAACAAGTCAATAAGAAACAGGAGGAAATGTGAACAGGCAATTCACCAAAGAAAATACATGGATGGCAAATATACACACAAAAATGACGCTCAATGCCATTAATCATAAGGAATATGCAAATTAAAACCACAATGAAGGCTGGGCACAGTGGCTCAGGCCTGTAATCCCAGCAATTTGGGAGGCTGAGTTAGATGGACCACTTAAGTCCAGGAGTTCGAGACCAGTCTGGCCAATATGGTGAAACCCCATCTTTACTAAAAATACAAAAATTAGCCAGGCATGATGGCAGGCACCTGTAATCCCAGCTACTCAGGAGGCTGAGGCAGGAGAATCACTTGAACCCAGGAGGCGGAGGTTGCAGTGAGCTGAGATCACACCACTGCAGTCCAGCCTGGGTGACAGAGAGAGACTCCATCTGGAACACATACACACACACACACACACACACACACAGAGAGAGATCCCATTTCACACCTACTGGAAGGACTGCGATTAAACAGGGGGCAAGAAGCTGGGAGAGGACATGGTGCATCCGGGGCTCTCACATTTTGTTGGTGGGACCGCAAGATCACACAGCCACTCCAAGGAGACAGCGGGGTCCTTTCTTGCACAGCTGAACATGCATCCACCATAGGAACCTGCAACCAACTCCTACATGTCTACCCAAGAGACATGAGAGGATTAACACTGGAACATTCCCAGCAGGTTTATTCTTAACCGTCCCAAACTGAAAAAGACCCAAATGTCTGTCAACTGGTGAGCAGATAACCAAGTTGAAGTGTATCCATACAATAGAATATACTACTCAACCATGAAAAGGAACGGGCGACTAATGCATGCTCCAATGGGGGTGACTCAAAACCTTTGCTTGGTAACAAATCCAGACAGAAGAGACCACGCACTGCATCATTCCATCCCTAAAATTTCTAGAAAAGGCAAAATAACAGTGGCAGGAATGAAATCAGGGATTGTCATCGGGACGGGAAGAAAGGATTGGCTGGGGTTGGGCGGCACAAGGGGCTTTTGTGGGGGCAGAAATGTCCTCTGTCCTGATTCTGGGGGTGGCACATGGCTGTGTGCCCTTGTCAAGACCTGTTGAATTGTACCCTTCAATCGGTGACATTTATTGCATATAAATTAGCCTCCATAAAGTTAATTTAAAAATACCTGCTTACTCTTCCATACAAATGTGTTGGAACAGACAGTGCATAAACAGTCAAAGCAAGGATCTGCTCCTGAGCACTAAGGGGTTATGGGAGGTTCTGGGGCAAGAAGAGCTTTTGGGGACTCCCTAAGGACTGAGGCGAGGACGGTGGGAAGGAGTGGGCAGTGTGGGTGGAAGGCAGGGGCTTGGGGACAGCGAAGGGGAGACCTGCAGCAGGGCTGCGGCTCTGGAGAACAAGGGAGCAGGGGGCGTGGGAAGCGGCCACTGGAGGGTTGGACGGATGCCAGGCCAAGGTGGGGTCAGCAGCACAGGTTCCCAGTTGCGTGGGGCTGGGACGGGACAGGAGGGAGTGACCTCCCCATCATGTGGAGGCTGAGTTGATGATGATGGGAAGGGCAGCAGGGGCCAAAAAGAGAGGACGGCCCAGCACGCCATGTACTCAATGCCTAACGGGGCCCCATTTAAGGTAAATATTTGTTTAACTGCACCGTGACACACAGTATTTTCTGCATTTAAGTTTAACTCAGTTCGACAAATGTTTATGAACTGTCTACTGAGGAGAGGCATTGAAGTACAGAGATGAATCAAACACATACTTGAGCTTCAAAAGGCTGCCAGGTAAACAGATAATTGCAAAACAGTACCATGCTAGAATAGAAAGCCAGCGTTGGGAAGCCTGTGTGATGGATCCCTGTCAGCAGAAGGAG